CATCCTCTTCTTCATCCTCTTCTTCCATCCTCTTCTTCTTCTTCTTCCTCTTCTCCTCTTCTACTTCTTCTTCATCCTCTTCTTCTTTTTCTTCTTCTTTTTGTCTTCCTCTTGCAGGTCACTGTTCATGTGCAGATTTTTTATCGGTAAAAAAGATCGGCCGATTTTCCCATAATTGCTGCGAAGATCTTTTTCCAACTTTACCGATAAAAACAATCTGCCAAATACCGAAAAAACGGCCGAACAATTAACCCACTAACGATCCAAAAATTGGCCGATTTTATTTATTTTCGACCCATCTATGGCCTGCATTACTTTACATTGTTCAATCAGCCAATTAAATATATTATTCTTGTTGTCTTAAAAAAACCTCATATAATACCAAAATACATTTATAAACACAGGGCTGTTTGACCTGCTGATCACATGTCATTTGGTATGCAATAGTGCAGAGCAAAAAAAAAAATCACACCCCATCTGTTTACAAATAGGCAAGCGGATCAAACAAGCGGATGCAAATCACAAAAGAAATCCTGATCATGTGGTTGTTTTTTATCTTAAAGGAATAGTAATTTCACTATAGCCTTTGACTCTAATGTGTTTGTCAGTCTTGTGAAATTGTGGTAAAGCTGCAATAAAGCAAAAACTGCTAATATTGCTTATTCCTATCAGTTATACAGAAAGCACTTATTGCTCATCACAATGAGTTCCAGCACTTAGTGAGGGATGCATTCCCAAGCTGGGTACCAGGCTGATGGAGAGGTCTGAGTAAGCACCTAGGAAAAACAGTGACCACTAAGTGGTGGTCACTATAGACTTTGGGCTTCAAGTTTAGCACAAGGGCCTCATAGCTATGTTCCTGAGAGAGATCCTAGAAAGGCAGAAGGTGAAACAATTTTGTACAGCATGGTTCTGATTTAACAGTTACTATGTGTGTATATTATTTAGCCAGAAATGTAGAAATACAGCGGCAGGGCGGCACAGTTGGGCAAAACCACATTTTAAAATGTGTGTTTTTAGAACAGGTAGTGGGCGCATGGCTGCCCTACCTGTCCCGCCGATCACGGCCGTGGATGTCAGTCGCTGGGTCACAGCCGGTCGTTACCGACTATGTCCCGGCGATTAGCAGCGATTAGCAGCAATCAGTGACAGACAGCACAGCTGCAGTAGCTGTGCTTTTTGTCAGTTCCCTGACAGCTCCTGACACGCTGATCGGGACAGAAGAGTTTATCTGTCCCGATCAGTGGTATTCCCTGCAGTACATACCCCCACCCCCTAGTAAAACACTCCCCTCACACAGTTAACCCTTTCACTGAATAATACAGTTAACCCCTTCCTCCCCAGTGCCATTAGTACAGTGTTAGTGGGTTTTTTTTTTTGCACTGATCACTGTATTGGTGTCACTGGGGATGTCAGTGACCCCAAGTCAGTTCCCCCCCAGTGTCAGAATGGCCCGCCATAAGTCGCTGATCGCCGCCATAAGTCACTGATCGCCGCCATTATTAGTATAAAAAAAAAATTTTAAAATCCCAGTATCTTTCCTGCCATTTGTAAACGCTATAACTTTCACGTAAACCAATTAATTTACACGTATTGGGTTTTTTGTAACAAAGACATGTCGCAGAATGCATTTTGGCAGAACTTTATGACTAAATTTGATTTTTAAATTTTTTTTTACTGGACATGTTTTATAGCAAAAAGTCCAAAATATAGTTTTTTTTTCCTCAAAATTGTCAGTCTTTTTTTTTTATAGAGCAAAAAAAAATAAAAAAACACACAGGTGATCAAATACCACCGAAAGAAAGCTAAATTTGTGGGAAAAAAAAAGGATGTAAATTTCATTTATGTACCGTATTGCATGACCGCGTAATTGTCCGTTAAACTAGCGCAGCGCTGTATAGCAAAAAAATGGCTTAAATTGCAGTTTCTATACTATTGTTTGTAGACGCTATAACTTTCACACAAAGCAATCAATATACACTTATTGGGATTTTTTTTTACCAAAAACATGGAGCAGAATACATTTTGGCCTAAATGTATAACTAACTTTGAGTTTACTATATATTTTTTATAGCTAAAAGTAAAAAATATTGTTTTTCTTCAAAATTTTTGGTATTTTTTGTTTATAGCGTGAAAAATAAAAAGCGCACAGGTGATCAAATAGCACCGAAAGAAAGCTCTATTTGTGTGAAAAAAAGGACGTAAATTTTGTTTGGGTGCAGCATTGCATGACCGCGCAATTATCAGTTGAATTAGTGCAGCGCCGAGTAGCAAAAAAGAGGCCTGGTCATTAAGGGGGGTAAATCCTCAGGAGGGCAAGTGGTTAACAACTGAAATCATTTCTTTTTCTATTTGTGTTAAACTTAATAGAAGGCATATCCTTTCCCGATATGTTGCATATACATTCAGCAGTCCGCGGGATTGTTGCTTAGTCAAACCCATTTGTATTTCTGCTTGTGCTTGAGTCTTCTTATGCTTCATTATTTCTGCGTGATGTGTTCTGCATCATCTGGCTTAAGAAAAGTTTTTGTGTTTATGGTACAGTAAGGTTCCATAAGTGCCTCTTCTCTATGTCCTTCTCATGAGACTTCTTACTAATAGCCAAGTCTTTCAAAGATGTAGCAATTCTCTTTGGTACTAGAAAAGAATACGTGACTCATATTTAATTAATAGAAGAAATTGTTTGCTACCTCTTTTCATACACTGGCAAATGAAAGTGGACACAGCCTGCTGTATCCTTGTAAAGATTTAGCTGTTTTACACAAAGAGCTATACGTTGTCAAGGATTTAGAGTGATTAACTCAATTCATGGAAGTACAATACATTTATGAATATCTATGGCTGTAAGTGGACAAAGCAGAAAGAGTAAAGGGTTGGCTAAGCAAATTTTCTTCTAAAGTTTATTCAAGTCTGATTTTTTTAAAATGCATTTTTCTGTGGTCAAACAACTCCACAATAAAAAATACTGTTACTACAATTTTGTTGAGAAAAAAATCCCCTCCAGCTAAGCAAAGATGCTAGAATTTTTTTTTGCATGTTTTGAAAAAAATTAAACTTGATTCATTATTTTCTTGGTACTACTGATTTCTGAATGGGAGTGTCTGCCTTTTATTGCTGATCAGTTTTAGTGCTGTTATGAGAAAAACTACACCCTTTGCACCCCTTTGGCTGAAGGGGAGCTTCAGGGCCCATTCATACCGTTGTCTTGGAAATTCGCTTTCAACGAATTTCTCCTTACCGTGAGTGTCCGCAGTTGGATGCGCAGTAATCCCCCATAAAGCTGTGCGAACTTCGCTTACCGCGACTGCAGCTAAACTCCACGATTCCTGCACCTCCAACTGGTTTAGCTCTGTTGAGATGTGGGGAAAATGGAGCTCCCGTTACCCAGGAATGATCACACGACACTCTCAGGTTGCAGTTGGAATTTACTCTGAGACTGGCTCCAACCACAGCCTCCTGTTTTATTACAAGCACACACACGGCCCCCCACATGAGAGTCAGGTCAATCCCCTCCCACAGAACAATGTATGGGGAGTGTCTATACACAGAATGTACATCCTGATTGGAGCGTAGCCTTTCCTCTTATCTATACTGGAAGCCAGTTAAACCAGTTGAACCAGTCCTCCTCTCCCCCTGGTGGGCTCTCTGTGGAGAGCGAACTTCCCATCCCTTACATGCTATCAGCTCCTAGTAGTATGTACATTCTCTGTACAAGCATCCCTTAGATTAAACAGTGCCAGTCTGTATCTGAATGGGCCCGATACGATCTTTATTAAAACACATCCATCCAGATACAGTTCAGGTCGGTAGTGGCTTGTAAGATATACATGAGCCTACACGTGGCGTTCGCACTTCCCAGGGCCTGGCCATACGAAGTCCATGTGGTACTATGCTGTTGTTATGTGAATACAGGCCCGCGGCCTACCACTGGCAGCATTCACATCGAATGCCGTGGTGGTATACACGCCGGTCTATAAGCGCAGATCTGCCATCTCATCCATTACCGAGCTGAGTACTGTAATACATACATTGTACATGCGCATCGCCCAATTGCAGCCTTCAGAGCTTTAATTAAACACACACGAGAGACATATGAATAACACTAATATATGACACATTTAAAGTTCAACTTGTAATACAAAAATTTCCATGACACCGTTGTGTTGTGGTGATGCTCACATTAACATTCATTACATGCATTGGTGCGGTAAGTGCCACTGATTTTGAATCGTAGTCCAAAACACTCGTAAAACATATGTCTGCTGCAGCACAATGCCTTGTAATGTTGCTTGGCCATTTTTGTGCCTTCTATGGCATTAGAAGCTCCTGGGAAGCAACATACATTAAAGCGCAACATAATGCAACATGACAGAACATAAAGTTGTAAACAGTAGCTTACCAAAATAGAACTCATGTTACAAGGAGTGCCCATAATATGACTTGTAGCTAATTTCATAGTTCTAAGAAAAACAGTGAGACAATTAACCTCCCTAGCGGTCTGATTATGTCCATATTTCTGTGCTCAAAGTGGTACATTTTTTGGCATGGGAAAAATATGTATTTTTTTTATTGTAGGTCTGTAATTTTTAGGAATAACGCGCTGAAATCTGTCCGAAGAAGAGTCTAGTAAACATCCCAGGTATGTTAAAATTTGAAACACGAAATCATAAATTAGAATGTAATAAACAATCATAAAAAATAATATAATAAATGTAATTCAATAATATAATCAAACCAAAAACACTGAAATTTGAAATATAGCGCCAAGTTCGCACATCACTGAGCAAAGTCGCAAAATCGTTTTCAGTGTCTGATGACGAATTTCCCCATGAATTATTATCACTCAATTCTGCAAGTGGTTCTGATTTACTATCACTGTTCTCTAGCCGGTCTAAAACCGCTTTTGACCTAAAGGGACGCTTTTTGGACCCCATGGACTTTTCTCAGTTTCCAGGCAGTGAAAATGCAGGCAGGGTACAGGACAAAGCACTCGGGACAAAATGTATGTGAAATGGTTTGATACAGAAATGTTTTACTATGTGATTTTAGTGAATGTCACTTTTTGTCATTTTCAAATTTCCCGCCGTTCCCTCCCCCGTACGTCCCGACGCTCGCAGGGGACGGAACCCAGATGACAGATGCCGGCATCTGCCAGATTACATTGTAGGGGACACTGCAGGGGGGACATCGCGGGGAGAGCAGGACAAGGTAAGAGAAGAACAGATCCCGGAGCAGCGCTGCATGGTAAGCCCGAGTGTAGCTCGGGGTTACCGCTTATGGTACCGAAACTTTACCCCGAGCTACACTCGGGAATACCGCCAGGGAGGAAACAGAAAGAGAAAAGCATATTTCTGCTGGGAATTCTGAAAACATACAATGTAAAAAAACACCCCAAATGTTACATATTGCTGTGTAGTAACTGTTTAGTTATTTTTACATATTCACGAAAATCACAGCAGTTTCAGATTGAATTGAAAAAGCAATTTTTAATAACATTCAAATAGAAAATTAATTTACCCTAACCTGCAAGTTTTTTCTTTTTTATATTATATTAATGATCCTTTCTTTTGAAAAAATTACAGACCACACCATAATTTTTACGACTCACAATATGGATGAGGCAGATTATCTAAGTGACAGAATTGTCATTATTCAGCAAGGCAGGTTAAAATGTTATGGTTCTCCATCATCTCTTAAAGAAAAGTATACACAAGGTTATGAGCTGACTCTTACAAAACAGGTAAGTGATTGTGTTTTCATTTTAAGTAAAACATTACTTAACAGAGATATCTGTCTGTAGTATCTTCTGCCGTCATACATCCTAACAAAGAATGCACATAATCCGTCCGTTTTATATACACTCACTAATAATAAATAACAGAAGACAAACAATGTTGTAAAGTGGATGTATGTGAGCGCTAAAGGTGAAAAAAGCTGCTGTACACAAAAGGTACCAAAAAACAACTTCCAAAATTCACATAAAGATAAGAGTGCAGCGCTTAAAAAAACAGCAAATGAAATACACAAGATAACATATCAAAGTGCAAAAGGTGTATAACTGCAAAACGCATATAATAATATAGTTTTTATACTGTCACTTATGACGTGACTAGATATGGTATAAGTGCTCAGTTCACAATCTCCTCAATGGGTGGAGTGAAGTGGGGGATCAGTTGGATCCCTATTGGTATATGGTGGTAACCAAAAACGATAAGTGACAATATCCAAAATTGGTATAAGATTGTGCACTCACCAGATGCACAATCAGTATGCGCATGTAAGAGATAACCCCTCTTAAGGTATGACTCCAGGACTCATCTGAAGCAAGGTCTGGTCTAATTCTGCGTTGTGGACCCTCAGTTTTTCATGCATGGCTCTGTTCCCCTATTGCTCTTGACTCTGTAGGCAGTTAGAAGCTCATCAAAGAGTCCCAGAGAGAAAAGGAGGCCAGAATAGCGTGATACCGTTTAAACATGCGTGCGTTTATTCCATCCAGCAAAAAAGGGTATAAAAACACAATACTGACCAAACAAGAAAGTAAGTTGGCCGCCGGGACCCCAGTGGTGCCGGCGGCAATAAAACGTCACTGTGCCGCAGTTCCCCACTGACGCGTTTCGTGCAACCGCACTTATTCATGGATAGTTGCAATCTGGTTACTACAGTCAGCACTTATGTACAGTATCAGTATGCTCTGCATTTTAGTTTCAGTATTTCTGGGCTTCATTTGCTTTTTCTTAAATTAAATCTTAAAGAATGCAGATGAGTTTATCAGCAAGACAAAATTACAGTACAAGGCATCATGCAAGTTAATGTCAGGTAAATGCTATTTGCTTGTGTAGCAACTACATCTTGGAAATAAGAAATCCAAGTTATTGAGGAGAACTCTAGACCAGAGGTTGGTTACTTTTTTTTTAATCTGAGGACCTAAATGAGAAATTGCCACAAAATTTGGACCCAAGTAGAGAGTAACCAAAATATCAGAAAAGCCATAGAAAGACAAAAAGCATTAGCGTTATAATAAAATGACAACACTAACATAAACCAATCAATGCTGCATCTCTTTATTTATAATATATCACTGCTGGGGTCAAGGACTGCACATGGGGATTAATGCAGAACATCACCAAATTGGTAATATGATGTGAACCAGCTACCCAAAGCTACTGTCTGACAGGCTAATTCTACCTTACATTACTCACCTTTCCATGATAAAAAGACAGTTTTTTTTTTCAAGCTTTCTTCCTAGCTATTGAAGAATTTCTTAGGTTTGCTTCCATGCTGTGGGTGTGATGTTAAAAAATACCTAATTAGCGTGCTATATTTAAGACATTTAAAACTAAGAACGTCTCCACAAAAACACATCGCAGACCGCCTTCTATTTTGCAAGCTTTAATAAAGCCAAGAGATAAATAAAATGTTAGTTTTATTTTCTGTTCATAGTAGACATGTCCAACTAGTTTAACCTCGCTCTCTTGCCTGGTAAAATGTTATGTAAAACAGGAAACTTCCAGAAAATGTATATCATTGTGCCTTCTGATTAATTGCATCACCAGTGGGTCATGGAGATAAAAGGTAATGTCATTTATGTAAAGAACTCCTGATTGGATTTTTAGTTTCCTGGATTTTGGTGGAGTGTAAAGAACACAGTGCGCAATGTCAGTCTACCAGTGCACCCTCAGAAGTATGCTTTAGTTAATTGTTTCTCAGATTTCCTACTTTTTTTTTTTTCAAATGGTGAAGGAATCTGTATGAGATCCTATGTCTCTATATCTATGTTGTAAATGTAATAGTTTTGAAGAGATGTGTTTGCATTTCTTTCCAATTCTCTAAAAAAGGGTCTATGATTGTTTGAAGTTCTTAGAGGCAGATCAAGCTATAAGTTGTCAGAAAGTCAGTAAGGTTGAATTACTAAAGGCAAATATTCTGTGTAATTTTTCCCAGAGTTTAGTGAATGTGGCGAAAAAATGAAAAAGAAAAACAAAATTTTTGCTTGCACATGATTGAATGATGGAAGTCAGCAGTGCTTTTCCCTATTCGCTAAGCTTTAGGGAAAATTCTCTTGCAGAGTGCAACTTCACTTGAAAAGTGAACAGTCTATTTGTCTTTAGTGAAACGCTCCCTTTGAGTCTGCCACCAATGTAAGGCTTACATCAGCTGCAGCACAGGTCTCTAAACACATTCCCAGATGCTACAACAGCCAGGAGTGAGTTTACTCTCTTCAGCTGACTGTCAGAATTCTGCTGTAAGTCATTGGAGCAGCTATAAAACAACCTGATCACTTCCATACACATGGGAATGTGCCACACCCGCTATGTATCCCAAGCTCTGCTGCCCCTCCTGTAATCCCAAGAAGACCATGGTGGGTATCAGTGGGTAGAGCATATTGTCCCTCTGATGAATGGGCCTAAAAGAGACAAGTTTAGTTATGTTGGGTTTCAGAGTTGTCATTCTCTGGCAGCTGAGGTTGAGGAAGAAGCTAAGTATCATCTCTGCTTGATTATTTTTTAGACCCCGTGGACCTTCTCCAAAGATATCCAGAAATGTGGCAGTCAAGTCTCCTGGCTATACTTCTGAGAAGGTACAGGCTGTATTAGGGTAGGGCCCAGGAAGCAAGGAAATGCGTTTTGAGTATGTTTCTCTTTTTCAAGCCTCCATGTGTTTGAAGCCTCCGGTTTAAGTGTAATTTTTTCTGGTGAAATTCTTCAATCTTGTATATTATTGGTGAAGGCTCTAACTATCACAAAACTTCCAAAAAGAAGCCTCAAGGTACCTAAAAATATATATACACGATCAAACGAAAATACGTATTCCGGGAGTCCCTAGACACCAGGCCAATGAGATACTTACAGAAAAAGAACTAGTTGTGGACTCAAGCAGAATAGGGAATTTGTGAATACTCAAAAAAATAATTTAAACAAAGGTGACCAGTGGCACACGAAAAACTTCTTTATTGCAGACAAAATTAAAAGTATAAAACAAACACAAAAAATCGTACCACATTCCAGAGGTCCCAAGTAGGTAAATCCCTGTCAGGGGAATACTCGTTAGTAGAAAGATAATTGTATGGATGACTTGTATGTACATTTGTAAGCTGTAACATGTTCCATGCAGGAAAGAGTGCAAAGGCATAATGACAAAAAAGCTCCTATACTCAGAATGACCAGCCATAAGCACCAGCACCCAGCAATAAGCACCAGACCAATCATACAATGAGACTGGTGTAAATGTTAGTGTAATACAGGGAGGGATGCAGGAAAGGTATCAAAACCCCCTTCATGCACTAGACACCAAGGCATAAAGATCACAGCAGCAACTGATCCTAAACGTATGACCACATGTAGTCCAGAGGAGGATGTAAATAATAGTGAGTGAGAAGTGGGCATAGAGTATAAAACCAACAGTCCTTCCAGGTGATAACAGCTTGGAATAGGAGAGTTACAGCCAATAGGAGGAACATCCATAACCAATAAAGGTACTTATCTTGCAGTAGAAGTCCATGGAAAGTTCAATGTAAGACCTGGGAGTGTGGTACTGGGCCACTCCTGACTGGTTTCGCTGGTACAAATGGCTGCCTCAGAGGTAGGCTCAAAAAGTTTGCTTGACGTCAAGCAAACTTTTTGAGCCTACCTCTGAGGCAGCCAGTTATGGATGTGCTGTCTCTTTGATTGAGGAGTCATCGCATACTTTGATTGTTTATAAGTTACATTATATGTACCTCTGTGCATTTAAAGGGACTGTGCCTCTGATAATGCCATTTCTTTGATCAAGAAGTCACTGCATATCCTGACTGCTTATAAGCTACACTACGTGCACCCCTGTGCACTTAAAGGGACTGTTCCTCAGATAATGCCATTTGTTTGATTGAGAAGTCACCGCATACTATGATTGCTTACAAGCCACACTATGTACACCCCTGTGCATCTAAAGGGACTGTGCCTCAGATAATAATACTTCTTTGATAGAGGTATCACTGCACACTCTGATTGTTTACAAACTATATCATATGCACCCCTGTGCATCTAAAGGGACTGTGCCCTGGATAATGTTACTTTCTTGATATAGAAGTTACTGCATACTGTGATTTTGCTATACCATATACCATAAGTTATACCATATGTATCCCTGTGTATTCAAAGGGACTGTGCCACAGATAATGTAATTTCTTTGATTGAAGAGTCACAATATACTTTGATTGCTTACTAGCTATATTAGGTGCACCCCTGTGCAGTTAAAGGGACTGTGCTTAAGATAATGCTATTTCCCTGACTGAGAAGTTATTGCATACTTCAAGTGCTTACAAGCCAGGGGCGGACTGACCATTTGGAAACTCG